AGTAGGTGTTTAATAAAAGCCTACTTCCTTCCTTCATCTACTGAGCCATACACCACGTGCAAGCTGGAGGAGATTCCCCATACTGAAGAAATCACAGCTTTGCTCTTCGTCCTTCAGCTGCATGGAGCTGAATGGCTGGTTGGTTATCCTCTCTCACGTGTTAACATGTCGCCATCCACTCCAAGAAGCGGTCTTTATTTCCTCATTGTTCCCACCACCGTAACTGGTGTGCTCAGTAATAAGCCTCCCCTCATCTTCGGCCTTAGCTTTCAGGAAGGTATTTGTACAGAACTGCTCCATGCTCTGGTGTCCCTCCTCCGTTACCTATGCTCCGTTCTGGCCCCTGCACATACTCGGTTAAAGCTGACAAGCTCTCCCTGAAGAACCCCACTGGGGTCTGTAGGACATCCTCTTTTCTTCTTCACAGAATGGCTGACACAATTCTGTGTCAACACAATGTCACTCCTGGAGAACATCCCATCCCTGCTCCTCTGTGTACACTCCAAAAGTGACATCACCTGTTTTCTTGAACCTCATCTGCATTCTTTCCACTGCACTTCTCCTGTTAGGTTTGTAGATTTCCACACAGGTGTCAGTGCTACTCTAGGGTACTCTCAATTAGATGTTTCCTTTGAATAAAGAATACCCTTCCACTGTGCTCCAGACTCATGAGTCCATCTCACCAAGACTTGGTGATACTGATGAGATCAGATTGATATCCTTGTGTTAAACCTTTTTTCCATTAAGGTTCTCCCTCCAGTGCCTGGTCAAGGAGGAGGAATACTGATTCCTGAAGGCTGTGGTCACAGACCACAAGCTTCAGTAGGTCCAACCAGGATAAAAATGCTTTGTCTTAGCTATTCTCAGCAAGACAATGATCCAAGACAATTCTGAAGGACTCATGATGAAAAATGCTATCCACCTCCACAGAAAGAACTGATGGAGTCAGAATGCAGACTGAAGCAAACTTATTTAACTTTATTTTTTTTGGTCTGGGTTCTTTTGCAACATGGCTTATATGGAAATGTTTTGCATGACTGTACATGTATAAATATACACACAGAGAGATATATATATATATACTACATAGACTATATATACATATTTATATATCTATAGCAATCTATCTATATTTTTATCTAGATGGACAGATAATGGCCTCTTTTGACCATGGCAACCCATGAAATGGTTTTCCAAGGTACAGTGGGTTGTGAGAGGTTGGTGATGGTGTAGCGTGTTCACATTGATTAACTCATCAATCTTTCGATATTTGGAAATTTCATAAGTGGGGTCCTCAGGGTATAGACATCTGAGGCCTTGCTTTCAACTCTCTTGAATTATTTCCTTATGAGGCACCTCGTCTACTTCCAATTTTCTTCCGGTGCTTTACCTGGTGTCCTTCATAGGAATCAAGTTTACACTTTTACCTGAGTATTGGCAAGTCTCCAGCCAAATACATTCTTGGTCAAGAAGAGCCCATCATTCTGGTATCCTAAGCCATGGTCCAGAAAAACTAATCTCATTTGCCACCGTATACATACATGCATATACATATATTATCATTTATATGTGTGTATATATATATGTATATACATATATATCATTTGCCACCATATAGAGATATGAAAAGAAAGAGAGAGAGAGAGAGAGATCTTCAACTCTAAAATTCTTATGTCTTTCTTTTCCTTCCAAAGTCCCACCCTTCACCTGGTAGAAAAGAAATTCTACAAGTGTTCCTTCAAATGCTTTGATTTCTTGCCTGGGACTTGAAAGTCCCTAAACATACATTCCAGAAAAAGACCTAAGAGTCCTCTGGAGGAGAGGACCTGGGGGTGTGGGGGTTTAGCCTGGAGAAGACTCAGGTCGTCATGTGAAAGGCAGATAAGAGCAGTTCCAGAGGGCACAACTAGAGCACTAGGTAGAAGGCATCTGGGGGAAGGGAGGACTCCCTAAGATTACCTGAAGAGGCAGCAGGCAGCTCCTCAGAGGTCTTCAAAGTATGATGACCATTTGTGGGGCCGCTGTAAAGAGAATTCTTGTCCAGGGAGGGCTTGGTCTCTACAGCCCCTTCCTGCTCTGATCTGTTGTGATTCTGAGTGGGAATTTTGGCCAGGAGGCTGGGAACTGGGGCCCCTGGGCTGAGGGGCAAGGGCTGAGTCCTAGCAGGCAGAATCACGGCCTCCGAGAGCAGCCAGTTAAACCCTGGGGGCTGCTGGATTATCCCACACTCCCTCTAACTTCAGGTTTCCTCTGGCCTCTACCTGGCTTCCCTTTCTTTGCCTCTCTCTAATCTTTTCTCATTCTCCCAATTCCTAAGCATTTCTCCTGGCTGCTGCCCTCAGGCATCTCTATTTCTCTCCCAACACTTTCCCTGATAAACGAGGTAGCTTCCCTCCTTCTTTCTGTCCATTGCCCGTCCTCTCAGCGACCCAGACCCGAAACTTCAGGGTTTGACCCCTCCTCTCGCACCTCCCACAGCCAAGTATTTGCCAAGTCCCACTGATTCCATCTCTGCAGTATCTTTTCCATCCTTCCCCTCCATTCCCACGGCCCCCACCCTCATTCAGGCCCTCCTTACCTCTCCCCTGGACTGGTCTCCCTGACTCCAGTCTCTCCCTGCTCAGGCCCATCCTTCAAACTGATGCCAGAGTAATCTTCCTAATAATGCACAGGCCTAATCATGTCCCACTTGTAATAACAGTAAGAGCTCACATTTCTATGGCGCTTTGTTGCTGCCAAAGGGCTTTCCCCACAACAATGCTGTGAGGCTGATAATGAATCATGTTTTCCCCTCGTTTTACAGGAGAGGAAACCGAGGCACAAGGGGCTCGATGATTTGCCCAGGGTCACACACTTCCTCAAAGCCAGGTATCTGGTTTTGTTTTGTTGGGGGGTTTTAAGCCTCTTCCAATATCACACAGCCTCTTGAGCAGGCCTGTCGTCTGGGAGCGCCGCAGATGACCCACGCGTTTCTTAAACAGACCGTGTGCATGAGTGTGGCAAGCGAGGAATTCCTTCTGCCGACGGGGGACAGGCAAGCCCTTATCAAACACCTGCTGTGAGCCAGTCACAGCGCTAAGTATGAGAGATCCAAAGTCAAAGAAAGGACCAGGAAGGTCTATTTGAAAGTCAGCACCTTGTCTACAACTTGTCTGAGCTGCTCCGGGCTCTGAGGTCCAGTGACCAGCTCCAGATGGCAGAGCCATCACACGTCAGCGGCCTGACTCTGGCTGGCTCTCCAGCCACTGGGCCAAACTGCCTCTCATCCTCGGTACTGGGTTCTGTTATTCCCATTCTTTTAAGTGATGGCAACACTCTTAGTGACTGCTTGCCTCTCCTTGCCTCTGTCTTGCTCAGGGCAATGAGGGAGATAGCTAGTGATTAAACTGGAGAGGAATGTGGGCAGAAAGCCCCGGAGCCAGCTGCTGCCACCAGGAGGCTTCCTGATGGGCTGACAGTAGCTCCGGGGCTTTACCACGAATGTTGCGGTCCAGGTGGGTGAATCCAGCACCATTCTCTGGAGGGCTGCTAGAGAATTCAGGCTTAGAGACAAACACAGACCATACTAGACTTGGGGAATTTGAGCTAGATACAATAGATAGGAAGGTTTCGGCACCACCCAGGCTGGAACTAGGTCATTTTCCTTTATGTACATTCCTAATCACCTTATCCCAGTGTATTATTTCTGAATTTGTATATTCTCTAATTTCCCTTGTAAATAAATCTTTAAAAAAAAAAACCAGCCAAGTCCTCAAGGTATACAGTGTGTAGAGTAGGTGACAAGAGGAAAGGAGTGGAGGCTAGACCAGGGCACCCTGTTCCAGGGGTGGCAACAGAGGAAAGGGCAAGGTTAACCAGAGAAGGGATAGAGACCCCTGAGCCCAAGAAACCAAGCCCGCTTGGGACCAGGAAGGTCAGGAGAGAGGCTCCTCACTTCAAGTAAGAGGCTCGGTGACAGGTGAATATTTCTAAAGCAATGAAAATAGAAAGCCCTGGGGCCAGATAAAGAGGTCCCCTGGTTAAGTTCAGGGACAGAACTGGAATCCCTAGCACAGGGGTGGGGAACCTGCAGCCACATGTGGCTTCTAGACCTGGGGTGTGGCCTTTGGACTGAGTACAAGTTTTAGAGAAGAGATCCTTTTATTAGGGGGATATGTTCTGTGAAGTTTGGATTCAGTCAAAGGGCCACACTTGAGGACCTTGAGGGCCACAAGCATGTTCCCCACCCATGCCCTAGGAGGTCGATGTGGTTCAAGTGAGGGCCCAAGGCCCAGTGCTGGGCCCTGCTCGAGAACAGAACCTGTTACTTTTTCCTGAATAAAACCCAAACTCCTTAGCCTGGCTCATCCACCGTCCCAGCCTCAGCTCACACGCTTCCGCTCCACAAAGCCCCACAGCTCCAATCCCGGACAGCCTCCTCACTCTTTCCTAAACAAGCCCTGTGCCTTCTGTCATACCACGGCCCAATGCCTCTGCCTGTCAAAGACTCTGTCCTTCTCTTGAGGCACCCATCCCTCAGACCCCATTCCTGACCCCTGGGCTTGCAGGGCTCCTTCCCGAGGCAAAGACTTACTGAAGCCCTCCCTGACTGTCACTTCCTCACTGATGCACACTTCTGAATTTGTATGTAATTATCTACTTACCCTCACAGTAAACCCCAGAAAAAGTATTCCTATGATCTGGATTACGTGGCATCGAGGGTAGGAAAGAGGGACCCTAGAAGGCCTGGCTGGGCTGCGGTCTGCAGGTTCTCTTCCTCTGGGTGTGTTCCATCTCCACAGCCCGCCTGGTGTGCTCCTCAGGCAGGCCGTGGGCTCATAACTCTCCCCTGTGCTCCCAAACCCCTGGGGACACCACCTCAATCGGTGGCCATGGACTGGCTCAATGGTGGAGAAGCGTGGCCCCCTGGTGGCCATTCGGGTGAACAACCACCCAGTGCCTGCCTGAAAGGGTATTCAGTTACTCCACAGTCCTTGGGTCCAGGAGGCAGCAAGCAAGCGTAGAAGAAGCTAGGAGCATTTATTTGGGGGTTGGGGGGGAATAGGGGTCAATTCAGTGCAGGCCCCCCCCACCCCAAGGCAGCTCAGTCCAGTGCCAGGTCAGTGCAGGTGCTGAGGAGTGGTGGGGCGGGGCTGGTGCTTGGGGGCCCCACCCCCACCCTGGGCTACAGCCTTCCCTCAGCTGGGGCCCGATTGGCCCTGGAGTCACTCCCAAGACAGGAGGATGAGACCCCCTCCGGAGACGGCTCAGGCCTCTGCAGTAGAACCAGGGGGGTCCTGGGGGCGGCCTCTCCGATGCCTCAGACTCTTCTCCTCATCCTGTAATAGCAACAGCCCTATATAGGTCCTGGCCATGGCCAGCCCATAACAGAGCTGGGACAGGGTGGAGGGGAGACGAGGGACAGCTTGGGAGCAAGAGGCTCAGAAGTCTGAACAGAGCTGGGAGAGCTTAAGGGGAAACTTCGGAGGGAAACACTGGCTATTTCTACTCACAGTCTCAAAGGTGCTGCTGGGGGTCCCCCCTCCAGGGGAGCCCCCTTCATCTCGGGCTCCATCAGGGCCCCCGTCCTCTTCATACTCTGTCAGACAATCTGATTCCTCTCCTAGGATTTAGGGCCAGAGAAAGTCACAGGCTGACTGGACCTCCTCCGGCTCCCCACCCCCCAACCTTGTCCCTAGTCCCCCCAGGTCCCAGGTCTTAGTTTCCCCTCCCTCACCATCAGCATAGCTGTCAGACACATAGCTTTTGGTTGGCTCAATCCGGGACACGATCTCTGCTAAGTCAGTAAAGCCCGCACTGGGACAGGTCAGCACCTGAGGAATGACCATGGGAGTCAGTGTGTAAGTGGGGGCAGGGGATGGGGAGAGTCCACCATGGGCGTCAGTGTGTATGTGGGGGTGGGAAGGGTCCACCATGGGTGTCAGTGTGTAAGTGGCGACGGGGGATGGGTGGGAGTTCATCATGAGAGTCAGTGTGTAAGTGGGGGCGGGGGATGGGGGAGGTCCACCATGGGAGTCAGCTGCAGTAGTCTACCATTGGGGTGGAGTCCAGTGACTCACATCAGTGGTACGCCGACTCTCATTAAGGTCAGCAGAACGCCTGTCCCTCAACATCTTCTCAATGATGTCCCCACGGCTCCAGCCCCCAAACACCACCTTTCCATGCTGATAACCCACGTCCTGCAGGACCAAGGGAAGGCTGGGGGCAGGGGTTCAACCTGAGATCTTCCCCTCCTGAATCTACCCCCCAACCTTGACCCCATTCCTACCCACTGTTCCCACCCTCACCCCCCACCCTGACCCTCCCATACTCACATATATCTGGTCAAATTTGCCGAAGTCCATGGTTTTGAAGCAGTCTATAGGTGGGCGCAGATACTCACAGTACGAACTTGATTTCACTATCTCTAGCTGCCTCACACAAGACACATAGGCCAGGCGAGACTGGATCTCTGCCATGTCAGGCACCTACAAAGTAAGAGGGCCTCACTTAGCCCAGCCCAGCCCAGCCCCGATCCCCTGCCCCCAGGCTCTGAGTCAGGAGGCCCCACTCACCTTGACCTTCTCAGCCCAGGGGTTGAGACGTTTCCAGAGAAGCCACCAACCTGACAGACTGTCCCCATAGTTGCTCAGGTCAGTTTCATCCTGACTGCCTACATCAATGGCTATCACCGTCTTCGCCCCCATGTTCCGGGCAATGTCAGCTGTAGGGCAGAGATGGGGGAGTCAGCTAGTATAATGGAGGGCTGAGGGAGGACAAAGGGGCTTTTACAGGAGACAGAGTGTGTGTGTGTGTGTGTGTGTGTGTGTGTGTGTGTGTGTGTGTGTGTGCACGCGCACACACGCGCACACCTTGGTGTATGAACATTCAACACTTCTTTTTGAGGGGCTGGGAAGAAAAAAAGTGTACCCAGGAAATGGGGTCCCTCTACCAGACTGCTTCTGAACCCTACCCCAGGCCCACTGTCTCCAGGAGGGGCTACTCGAGGCTGGGGCCACAGGACAGGCAGGGAAGGAGCACCTTCCCTCCCACCCTGCCCCAAGCAGCCACCACAAAGGGCAAAGAACGCGGAGAAAGACCGAGATGGAGAGGAATCAGAGATGACAAGGCAGAGGAGGCAGCATGCCGCCACACCATTCACAGTCTTCCGGGACGCTTTTCTTTCCTTTGCACTCTGTGTGCCTGTGTGGCGTATGTGGAGCCACAGGTGACCTGCATGAGCCCCATGAGTCCAGCTCCTCAGGACATAAAGGGGGCAAACTGATGCGCCTGCACTTGGGGGAGAAGAGGTGAGGGCATGAGGCCGGTTATGAGGGAGGGAGCCCTGGGCTCAGCCTCAGAGGCCCAGGAGGGAAGAGAAAGGTCACTAGGTCTGGTCCGGAGTCACGGGTGCTGGAAGACTGAAGTTGATGGAAGACCGTCGCGACGTCCTCTGTGTTTCCGGGTCCCCAGGTGCCTCTCATGCGCACATCTGTGCCCACATACGTGCATGCCCATGCCCATTTGCACCTGCATGCGATGCCCTGCACCCACCCCCAGCCCGCCACTTGCCTGGCAGGTTGTTGATGTAGCCGCCGTCCATGAGCAGGTGGCCATCCTTCGGGTCACAGAGTGGGGGCAGGTAGCCCGAGAGCGTCATGCTCGCCCGGACATACCGCCACAGAGACCCTGCCCAGGGAGGGGGGACACCACGTCAGGCCCCCCACCCAAGGGCCCCCCCTCACCTGAGGGGGGGCCAAGAGCAGCGTCCCCCCGGTGCTGACCTGGGACATTGTTAACATAGCACCCATCCACCAGGTGGTGCCCATCCGAGGGGTCACACAGGGGGGGCAGGTACGGGCTGTAGGAAGAGCTGGCCCGGACATACCGCCACACGCTGCCTGCGGGGGACAGAGTGGGAGGGGAGTGTGAGAGGATAAGGGGATAAGGAAGTGACAGAGTGGGGCAGGGGTGAGGGAGAAAGGGGCAGCAGGAAAGGGATGGAGGTAGCACAGATAGGGAAGGCACTGGACCGAGCCACATGCTGCCTTCAGAGAAGAGACAAACCATGAGAGACAGAGCAGAAAGAAACAGGCTGCAGGAAGCACTAGGCCAGATGGGCCCACACTCCTTCCAAGGGGACAGAGAGGAATGGGAGCATGAAGGGGGAGGGAGTGGCGAGGGACCAGGGGTCGGGGGGCAGGCGGGGGTGCCTTCAGATACATGGAAAAGATGAGGGGAAGGAAGAAGGGACCAGGGACCTGAGAGGAAATAGGATAAGAACAAGGAGGGTGAAAGATGGCAAGAAGAGGACCATCCTGGGGGAATGGGGAAAGTGAGAAAGGAGGAAGAGTAGAAGAGGATAGCAAGGTGAACTTCCATCCTGGGGAAAGTAGGGACCTGTGGTGGGACCCCCATATCTGCTCCCAGCTCAGGGCCTGGGAGGCCAAACCGTCCAGAGGGTCCCTGGTGGGTTAGCAGGTTAGAGGTTAAAGGTCACTGAGGCTGGGGAACCCTGGCCAGCACCCCAAGGCAGACAGGCAGCTCAGCTGTTAACAATGTCCCAGACAGCACAGCCCCGGCCTCCCCTGCACCCAGGCCCCCAGCAACCATGGCCCCTTGAAGCTGAAAGCCATCAACACTCCCCCTAGTCCCTGAGAATCCACTCCAAAAAGAAGTACAGTCCAGCCCTCCTACACAAGAGCCCTCAAGTTACCCCAATGAGGGGGAACTTGCATAGGGACAGTGCCAAGGTTACCATCAAAGGGTTAGTGAGTGAGTGTTCCATCTGAGCAGGCCCAGGCACTGACACCCTCCCCACTCCCCCCACTTCCTTAGTGGCCAGGCCCCCTGAAGGGCAGTGAAGACGTGGGCCTTAGGAAAAAGAGTGGGGGGGGGGCCTACCGTCCTTGTGCACACGCATGGCTGAGGCAGTGATATCTGTGGTCACATTGAAGTAAGGCAGCCACAGATCCTGGGGGGAAGAGAGACAGTGATTGGTGGACAAAGATGGCAGACAGGGCACAGGGATGGCAACGGGAGGACAGTGATCAGGGAAGACTGAAGGGAATGCTGCTAAAGCCTCACTTTTCTCTTGGTAGGAATTACATCGAAAGAGTTTAAGAAGCATCATAATAATAGCTAACTACAGCACAGTAAGGCTTAACAACACTTTACAAACGTTTTCTCATATTTGATGCTCATAACAACTGTACCTTTAGAAGGCGCCTCTTCCTCTCCCTCCCTGTGCCCCCAGGAATAGAACCCCAATGGATAAGGTCCTTGGCTTACATTTCAGGAAGGACATTTACTCTCAGATAAACACCCAGACAATGAACGTCTTTATATGCTTTTTGTCTCCCCCAGCTCCCCTTAGAAAACAAGCTCCCTATGGGCAAGGACTGGTTTGTTCTTTGTACTTGTATCCCTAGAGCCTGGCACATAGCAGGTACTCAACAAATGCTTGTAGATTAATGGACAGACGGATAGCCGGATGGATGGATGGATGGGTGGATGGACAGATGTGGAGAAGCTGTTGGTATTCCCAGGGGTCCTTAACCTGTTTGGCCATCACTTTTGGGAAGCCTAGGGACCTCTTCTCAGAATCATGTTTTCAAATGCACACAATAAAACACACAGGATTACAAAGGAAACCAATGATGTTAAAATATAGTTATCAAAATATTTTTAAAAGACATGTTCACAGACCCCAGGTTAAGAACCCCCAATCTAACTAATGCATTGTTGGTACAGTTTTGAACTGATCCAATTATTCTGGAGGCCAATTTGGAACTATGCCCAAAGGGCTATAAAACTGGGCATGCTCTTTGATCTGGAAGTACCAATACTAGGTCTGTATCACAAAGAGATCAAAGAAAAGGGAAAAGAACCTATCTGTACAAAAATATTTATAGCAGCTCTTTTTGTGGTGGCCAAGAATTGGAATCTGAAGGGATGCTCATTAATTGGGGAATGGCTGAACAAGTTGTGGTATGTGATTGTGATGGAATACAACTGTGCTGTAAGAAACGATGAGCAGGATGGTTTCCAAAAAACCTGGGAAGACTTCCATGAACTGATGCTGTGAAGTGATGCCACAGTAATGGCAATAGTGTACAATAATCAACTGTGAAAGACTTTTATATTCTGGCCAAGACAATGACCCAAGACAATTCCAAAGGACCCATGATGACAAAATGCTATCCCCCTCCAGAGAGAACTGATGAACTCTTGAGTATAGAAGGAAACATACTTTTTTTTACTTTCTCTATTTTTCGTGTGTGTGTGTGTGTGTGTGTGTGTGTGTGTGTGTGTTTTCTTTTGCAACATGACTAATATGGAAATGTTTTATATGACTTCACATGTATAACATATATTGCTTGCCTTCTCAATGAGTAAGGGAGGGGCAGAAGGAAGGGAGAGAATTTGGAACACAAAATTTAAAAAAAATGAATGTTAAATTTTTTTTACATGTAGTCGAGGAATATTTAATGAAATAAATTAAATTATACTTAAGAAAAAAAAAACAACCACCTCAGTCTAAGCTGAATGGGCATAATCAGGGGAAGGATCGTCACCTCTGAAGCATGGGAGGTATTAGATAGAGAGTGGGCAATGTATAAGAGATCTGAGAGCCTCAAGACAAGAAATAGCAGAGATACTAAAAAGGAACTTGGGGAAGGGGAGGTGGGGGGAGGGGAGGTGGAGGAGCCCTCCAATTTCAGAACAGAAAGGATGCCTCTTCTCCTCTGGAGACAAGCAAGCACTGGTGGGAATATTCAAGGAGAAACCATGGGGAAAAGGGCTAAAATGGCAGCTGGGCTCCAGGAACTGGCTTGGTCTGATACATAGGGCAGCTATCTGGTACTTACGGGGAAATCAAGTGAAAGCTCCTGCCATGAGCAAGATGACAGTGTTGAATGAGAATGTAAAGATGAGAATGCACAAAGGATGGAAAAAAGAGTGGAGAAAATAGGCTGAGAATCAGAGGATATGCCAAAGAAGAGACAGGAGTAGCAATGTCCAAGTTGAGACAAGAGGGTCTGAAGTCAGAGTGAGAAAACATCTTCCATTCTCATGAAGGCTCACGTCCTCACTGCTCTCCAGGTAACCCAGCCTCATCTGGAGGGGAGGTGTCTGCTTCTCTGGGAATCAGGTGGGAGGCTCAAAAAATCTTAGCAGGAACCGCAGGCTAATTGTGGCATAACCTTAAGCCCATGCCCAAAGCCTCAGGGTACAAGATTGGGCCAGGGCTAAGGATGCTAGGCTGATATATCCTGATAAGAAGTTAATGACCACGATCCACAGGGTCAGATGAATGGTGGGCCCATGAAAGCCAGAGAAGACAGAAGAAGGGCAGGAGAGGAGGGGGAGGAGAACAGGAGCGGAGACAGTTTCTGGGGCTGGAGCAGCCTGCAGAGGAAGAGACTCCTCCCATAAGATGAAAACTGCTCCAGTCCCAATCACCTGGAGCTGTGCGCCTGGCTCACAGTGCCCAGACCCTTGCTCCCTTGGGGCCTGCTGCAAATTCTGCCAAGTTGGGGCCAGGAAATGAGTAGGGGCCATTTGCCAAATCCTCTTTCCCAGACAGAGAAAAGGAAAAACAGGGAGCGCACCCTCTACTAGGCCCTTGTGGCAATGGTAGAATGGGATGGGTGAAGAGGCCAGTCCCTGGACTCAAACCATGAAGCCAAATGCCTGAGGGTTTGATCCAAAGAAGGAGGTAAGGGAGAGAGCAGGCAAAGATGTCAGAGCATGGCAGGGGGGACAGAAGAGAAGAAAGAGGTCTGAGGATCAGGATGAAGGGAATGTGAGAGGTGGAGGGGATCCCGGAAGAAGAGCAGCACCTCGATCTGCCTGTCCTGGAAAACCCGGTGGATACTTCGGTTGAAGGCAGAGCCTGAGAACATGGAGGTGACAGGGTACGTGAGGTCCAGCACCGGCTCAAACACTGATGTCATGCTCTGTGGGAGACATGGAGAGAAGGCCAGGGAGCTTGACGCCAGGTGGTAGGGAGCATGGTTGCTGCTAAGATTCACAGGAGGATGCCAAGGGGGCCTGAGAGGTTTGGAGGGGGACACCAAGGGGGCCTGAGGGGTTTGTAGGGGGACACCAAGGGGGCCTGAGGGGTTCACAGGAAGTCACTGAGGTTTATTGGGGGGAACCAAGGGACCTGAGGCACTCTCACAAGGGAACACCAAGGGAGTCTGGAGGGTTCACAGGGGCCACCGAGGTTTGTAATAGGCATGAGGGATTCAAAGAGGGATCTCAGGGCACAGTGGGGAGGGGGGGGCAGGGAGAAGGTCCCGGGAGTACCTTGGCCCATTCCCGAGCACGCTGCTTAGTACGACTTGCACTGCGTTCTTCTGCATAAAGGGCCCCAATGAAGGAGCCAATGGACGTGCCACCCACCATGTCCACGGGCACACCAGCCTCCTCCAGCGCCTTCAGCACCCCAATATGGGAGCAGCCCCTGGAGGCCAAGGATCAATGATCAGCAGTCCCCAATCAGAAGCTGGCCTTTCTCTAGCCCCTTTCCCCACCACCTGCCTATGTCTGGAGCCATCGTTTACCTGGCCCCACCCCCTCCCAGGACGAGGGCGATGGTGTTTCCCGTCAGCACCCGGGCCAAGCGGGAGAAGTCACTGTGGCGGTCAGCATGGCGAGAGAAGACCTTCTCGTAGAGCTCTCGCTGGGAAGGCAAGGTGGGAACGTGCACTTGGCAGGGGGAGCGGGGGCCACGATCCTCAGTTCCATCTGCTTCCCCCATCCTCCCCGAGTCCCCCCCCCCCGCCCCGAGCCCAGCGGTACCAGCTTGGCAGGACTGCGGCGGGAGAAGAGCCGGCGTGGGCAGCGCAGGTGCAAGTGGCCTGAGCACCAGCTACGCATGTTGAGCCACTCAACGGTGCGGGCGGGCCCCGGGCCCTCCTCCCGGTGCAGCAGGACCAGCTGCTTCAGGGCCCGCACCGCCGTGCTCTCCAGCCTCTGCTCCAGCTGCGCAGGAAGCAGATCGGGTCAGACCAGGGCCGGGAGGCCAACATTCTGGGACGGGAGGGGCTGAAGGTCAGGGGTCAGCACCTGGCCAAGAGTGGGCTCCTGGTCCCCCAGGCCCACGATGAGGATGCAGTCAGCCTGGCGCAGGCAGCGCACAGTCCAGGGGGTGAGGGAGCCGTCTGTTTGGTAGAGCACGATGCGGTGTGTGTCCTCTTGCTGGGCCAGCCAACCGGACAGCCGGAACTCCTGGATGCTGCACGAGGTTTGAAGGAATGAGCAGCAGTGCCAGCGAAGGACCCTGGCCCCTAATCCCTCCCAGCTCCTTGTGCCTTCCCAGCCTCCCACCTGTCCAGCGCCGAAGCCCCGAGCCGCGCCCGGATGATGTCGCTGTTGAGGAGCAGAGTTGGGCCTGGAGGAAACAAGGGAGGGAATCTTAGGGGACATCCCCTGTAACTCCCCCCACCCCACCCTGCTCCATTCCATGGGTTGACAGGCCCAGGGACCCCTCCCCAATGCTGACCAAGGCACTCCTTCTTCCACACTGACCAATGGCTCTCAGAGCATGTTGCAACTCCAGGGTGAAGGCTACCATGGGCACCTCTGCACACACAGGCAGCACAGCCACTGTGGCCAGGTTACTGGCTGGGTTGGTAAGTTCCGAAGGAGGCGGCACACCAAGCCCTGAACCTAGGGAGAGACCAGGATACACCCTGACCCATCCAGAACCTCTACCATCCAATCCCTTTAACCCTCTGCCCTGTCCCCAGAGTGCCCCCAACCTTCCAACCCTCTGCTTGTCCCTGAAGTCCCCCCTTACCTTCCAACCCTCTGCCCTGTCCCCAGAGTACCCCCTCAACCTTCCAACCCTCTGCCCTGTCCCCAGAGTGCCCCCAACTTTCCAACCCTCTGCTTGTCCCTGAAGTACCCCTTACCTTCCAACCCTCTGCCCTGTCCCCAGAGTAGCCCCTCAACCTTCCAACCCTCTGCCCTGTCCCCAGAGTACCCCCAACCTTCCAACCCTCTGCCCTGTCCCCAGAGTGCCCCCTACTTCCAACCCTCTGCCCTGTCCCCAGAGTGCCCCCAACCTTCCAACCCTCTGCTTGTCCCTGAAGTCCCCCCTTACCTTCCAACCCTCTGCCCTATCTCCCTTCAGACTCTGCCCTGTCTCTAGACTCCACCCCATATCTCCAGACTGTCCCCGAACCCATAAGAGGTGGTGAATGCAAAGTGGGAAGCAAACAGGCCAGCTTCTTGGAGTCCAAGGAGAAAAAAGAAAGAGGCTAAAACAGGAGCACAATCAGCACCCAAAGTCTCCCAGTGACCCAAGTCAGAAGACTTGGCATCATGGCGAGACCCTATGCCACCGTGCTAGCTGGCTGTCGGCATTAAGGGGATCTGAAGATGCATGCACATAAGAGGTGCGTGCAAAAGCCCAAGCTGCTACACACCGGATGGGTCTCGGGCTGTTAAAGGCATGTCAGGTGCCTCTGAGACCGAGCAGCGAGGCTGAAAGCACCTCAAAACCCAGAGAGAGAGAATAAAACAACAAAATTCACGATGAAAGCACCGAGCCAAGGTAAGTTGGAAGAGAGGACAGACAGCAAAGGGCTTTGGATGGAAATCTAAAGACAGCAGCAGAGCAGACTGTGTCGATGGGTGAGAGAAGGGAGTCCCCTATTTCTATTGCCAGAGCCTGACAGACTGAAAAAACGACAATTGTGGGGGGCCAAGGCAGCCCAGAGAGTGCCAGGAAGAAGCCCTGAGGAGGAAACTAAAGGTTAGAGAAAGATCAGAGATTTAGGGTTAGCAGGGACCTTGGCAGCCATCTGCTACAAACTGCTCATTTTACAGATGAAGAAACAGGCCCACAGAAGGTGCCTTGCCCAAGATCGCACAGCCAATAAAATCGCAGAGCTGAGATTGGACCCCATGTCCCCAAACTCCAACTTCAGTTTTTTCTCCAACACTGCATGTGTCCAGGGATGTCCTGGGAAAACAGGATCCCTCTCTGTGACTCCTTCTCCATAGGGAGTGGAACCTGTGGTCTGGAACCTTGCTCATCCTGCTGCCCGGAATGCAGACAAACTGCTAAAGCAGCCCCAAGAGATGTCCGGCCCAAATCCCTAGAGCTGCCCAAACCACCCAGGTTGGGGGGAGCATCCAAGAAGAAATGAGGACGCAAGGGCTAGGAGCCTGGGAGTCCTGAAGATGGCTGGCAAGAGCTGCAGGAGCCTTCGCCCCAAGGCCAATCAAGACAAGAACTCTGAAACCAGAAGCATCGTGAGGAGACCAAGTCTGGAAGAAGGCACAGAGGGCCGACATTCAGGGAACTGGCTGCACCAGATGCCGGCGACTGCTGGAGAGATTAGGGAAGAGTGATCACCCTGCCCTTCCTTCCCCTCTCTGGGCTTGTGTTTTCCCATTTGGACTATGTTACCACTAAAGACCCTCTGGTCCACTGACTACCTCTCTTCATGACAACAGTTTTCCAGGACAGCAGAAAGGGAACATGGGGGCTCACTAGCAGAAGCTGCTGGAATACGTGATCAGAAAGACAGTGAAACTCACATTCATGGGAACTTGAGACTCCCCCAAAGCAGGAAATCAACACGACAGCTTGGTGTGGCCCTGGATCAGTCTCAGAGCTAACAAAGCCAAGCCCCATGAGAAGGAGCTTTGTTAGAAGGATAAGGCCAAGAATGCTGCTGCCTCCTTCACTGCTAAGCCCTTGGACTAAAGCTCATGCAAAGGCATTCAGGATGCTATTGCCAAGTCCTGGGAAGGCCCAGCCAGAGCCAACTGAAAGGCAATGTGGCATAATGTTAGATTTGAAGTCAGGAAGAGCTGGGTTCAAATCCTGCCTGAGATTAGCTGTGTGTAAGGGACACTCATTGGCAAAATGAGCATCCTCACTGTAGTGAGAAGGATCAACCGAAATGACTCCTAGAGCTCTTTTAAGGTTTACAAAGTGCTTCTCATCCAAATCAGTTAAATGAGTGATGAGACAAGAAAGTCACGACCATGCTGACTTGGGCTATCATCCATATGGTTCTACTGGAACCACATTATCAGGAGAGACCAAGGATAAAGAAAAGATCTGTCTGGGTCTGTTTCAGTCACCTGCAAAAGGGAGATGAGAACAAATTAAGAACACACCATACTATAGAGGCTTCAGTTATGGTCCTGGCAACAGACTGCATCTACTCTTTGAAAGCCAAGCTATGGTCAAAGCACGGAAATGCTCAGCACCAGGGAGCTGTCCACCAGACAATGAATTCTTGAGCCCAGGCAACCCAAGAAAGCAGAGAAAAACACAAAATGGTCCTCAGGTCTCAGTTGCCCCCATCAGCTCTGCAGTGATGGTAACAGAGGGGGCATAAGGGGTGGAGGACCAGTTTTAAGGCTATCAATCAGCATTAACTTAATTGTTCATGCCCGAACATAAGATGTTTGCCCAGTGAGTCAACATGCTGCTACAGGAAATGAATGGTGTCAATATTGACTTTATGGCATAAACCGAAACCAGAAGATAGGAGGAAAGTACAGTTTAACGCAAGGAGGGCTCACGAGTCCTCTTAAGAGAGACAAATAAAGGAACTGGGGGAGTTGTTTTTGTCACAGGCCCAAAAGGAACAAGAAAGAAACATCACTGAAGGGGCCATAGTGTGATCCCCCTTTGCAGTACTTGGGATGAGAACAAGCCAAAAAGCCCACCAAGAAGATAAGAGCAGCTTGTACAAGGAGGACATGGGCAGAGCAGCTCCCTCCACCTCAGGAAAGTCCTTCTAAACTGATGAAACACATCTCTGTCCTCTTGGGGGTGGGACGGGGTGGGGGTGGGGGGGCGGAAGAGATAACCATGGGCGTGGAATTCTCTATCAGATGTGGTTGCTTGGTCAGCAAGCATTGCTTAACTGTTTTTCTTTGCTACAAGGGAAGGTTCGGTAGGGAAGAGAGAGTACATAAGAAAATCACTGTAATGTAAAAAAAAATCCCCAATGTCATCCAATTTTTTAATGGGGGTGCGAAGAATCCTCCACATTAAATCAATATGGAAGCATGGATCTAGAGCTGGAAAAGACCTCATTTTTCAGATGAGGCTCAGTGACATATAGTAAAAACAAGCGACTTTAGTGCAAAAGTGGGTACAAGGAAAGATGGTGAAAAAAATACTGAAAAAAGTAATCATCCAGTTTCTGCATAAAGTCCTCCAAAGAGGCAAGCCCACCACCTCCAGAGATAACCTATTTAATTTTTCTACAGCTTTGGAAAGGTGGGAAGTTTTTTGTGACATCAAGCCTAAATCTGGCTCTTTGCAACTTGGCAATTGGTTGCTCCTGGTTCTGCAAGATGGGGCCAAACAGCGTAAGTTTAGTCCTTCTTGCATATGACCACCCTTCAAATGCCTGGACGTGGCAATCTTGTCTCTCCACTGTCATCTTCCCCCCCCCAAGATTCTGCTATTCTTTCAATACATTCTGCAGACCCCCAGCAAGCTCACACGTGGACCCAAGATCTCAACCGACTACACATGAAGCCTCACACTTTTGTAGCTTTCCATTTATTAAAAACTGGTGAAAGCCTCACCAATGAGTGCCAACGTTGTCCAATGCTTTTGGACAATCAATCTGAGTCTTGTTGTTTACAGTCGTCATCACTGACTTGTATGAACTGAGGCAGAGTGAAATGAGAAGAACCAGAAGACGTGCAGTAACAACCGTATCATAAAGACAAAAAAAAACTTTGAAAGAGTTGAGAACTCTGATCAATGCAATGACCAACCCTGTCTCCAGAGGACTGATGATGATGATGATGCACGTTACCTCTGCCTCCTGATGGAGATGGGGATGGACTCAGGGTGAGGAATGAGACATTTCCAAGGCCATTCTCCACAAAGCTGTCAAATGGATCTTCCTAAAGTCTGACCATGTCACGCTCCTACTCAATAAACTCCAAGGGCTCCCTATCACTTGCGAGATCAAATACAAAACCCTCTGGCATTTGAAGCCCTGACCCCTTTCTCCCTTTTCTGTCCTTTTACACTTTCCTCCTTTCATTCCCTTTTCCCAAACCCTGAATGTACTCATCGATCCAGTGACGTGGGCCTCCTGGCTGGTCCTTGAACAAGAGTCTCCATTTCCCAACTCCGGGCATTTTCACCAGCTGCCCCCCGTACCTGAAACTCTCTCCCTCCTCACTTCTGTCTCCTGGCTTCCCTTCACATCTCAGCTAAAATCTCCCCTTTTACAGGAAGCTTTCCCTAATCCCTGTAATTCTCGTGCCCTCGCTCTACTGATTATGTCCAATTTTGCCTGCACAGATTTTGTTTGTACATAGCTCTTAGCATATTGTCTCCCCCATTAAGTTGTGAGCTCCTTTAGAGTAGGGACTGATGATCTTTTGCCCTTCTTTGTATCCCCAGAGCTCAGCCCAGTGCCTGGCACACAGTAGGCCCTTAATAAATGTTCACTGACTGACTGATTGCTGAGTGTCTGCCTCCCTAGGTCATCACAGGGATCCATGGAAGGGAGCGGAGCGTCGTGGCTGTAGTCCACACACTGATGACAACAATCAGCTCTACTCCCACGGATCACCAGACCAGTGTTCTCTGGGTCCTCCTGGATGTCATCACCAAGGTTACGTTCCTGTTCTTCGATGCTGCTGCCTTCCCTTTTGCTTTCCCCCAC